GCCTCGCTTCTGCGCACCGCCCCCCGCCTCGCCTCATCTCAGCACACCATCGCCCCCCTCCTCGCCTCACCTCAGCACACCGCCTCCCGCCTCGCCTCACCTTGCCGCCCCGCGCCCCACCTCAGCACACCGCCCCCCCCTTCACCTCACAGCCCCCAGCCCAGCCACCTCACAGATCGGGCGGGAAAGGACAGACCCTCGCCTCAGAGCGCTCCGTGGCGCAAGCAGGTGCAGGACTGTTGGCCAGAGGAGGGGAAAAAAATGTCCGCCCCGAAAGAGGCCGCCGGAGGCTTCCCTCAGCGGCGACAGCCTCTTCTCCCCGCTGCGGCATCCTGGGGGCCTGGTTGTCCCCCAAGCTGGCAGCAGCGTTTGCTGCAGGTCAGGTACAGGCGAGCGGTCAGCACCGAGTGGGTGGGAGTTACAGCTGGCTAACGTGTGCTCAGAGGTGGTGTGCTCACCTCTAAAAATACAGGCAAATTATTTGTTTTTAAAAAGAAATTCTTTGGAGTGCTTTCCCTTGGTGTTGCAGCAGAAAGTGAGTCTTGCAGTGTTGAGTTGCACGGTGGGTGGTTTGAACGTCCTTTGCTGTATTCCTACCTTCAACACTTACACTGGATTAGTTCAGAAGTGAAGTCATTCGATTTCTGAACGCTCAAGGTGTCTCCTGTAGTCTAGGAAAATGGTTAACAAAAATTTAGGTGGTAAATACGCTATACGGTTCAAATAAAGCTATCGGAGAGAATTCACTTACGTGGCGTATAGTGGTTTACTGAGCATCATTACCCAGCTTTTGACGGTTGACGCCATTTGGGGCTGCACTGTGGGGAGAACCCTTTGTGCACACAGAAGGAACCTTCCTTGTTTCATCATTTCTACCATTTCCAGGTAACCTCCTAGTGTTGTAGGACTGCACCTCTAATCAGGTTTTCCTTAACAGTCCAGGCAGCAAACTGTAAGAAGCTAACAAAACTTTTGGTCTGGACACCTACCACAAATACTGATCCCCTTCTGTAACATGTTACTTAAAAGAAGACTAACCTCTTAGAGGTTGAATAATGTGTATAAATGTTGAAAGTACTCTAAATGTAAATACAGACAGAACTGGTGATGGTAACCTAGCCATATAAAAACTTTGTGAAGCAGAGGGCCTGATTGTTCGCTCTGTAAACTGACATTGAGTGGATGTGAAGAAGCTAGTAGCACCAGTTTGTTGAGTGGAAGGAATCAGTTCCAGGTGCGCTGAAAAATTATGTATTATGATCCTTCTTTTCCAGAAGGCAATCTGGATGTAGGACAACCCAAAACATGAGAAATTGTAGGTTTTTTCCTGGTCTCTGCCATGCATTGCTTTGTGATCATAGGAGATACACTTACGCATTTTGTTCTGTTTTTTCATTTAAAAAGTACAGTTAAAGCTATGTTGGAAAAGTACTATAGGAATCTAAGTACTATTAGATAAAGCATTTTTAATTAATTTACACACTTGCATTTCTAGAGTGTATTTCTTTTCTATAGATGATCTATCAGTGTACTCATTTTAATTATTATGTAATTTCTACATTTTTTAAGCCTTTTAAAAAATCTTATAGCATTTTCTAACCTAGGTGTGGATTCTGTAAATATAGGATCATTTAATGAGTTAATTCTCTGTAGGATATCATGTGCTTTTATTAAATAATAAAGATAGTTTTAATATGTTTTAATTAATGAATATATTTATATTTTCAGGAGGAAGGCAGTTCTAAAACTGGTATGCTTTAGAATTTTAGATGAGCCTCAGCAAAGACAATTAAAATGGCATGTAATATGGATTATCCAACTTCATTCTTTAAAAAAAGACAATTAAACTCTAAATGGAAATAACAAAACATAATGTACAGAAATGATGTATTTTGTATATGTTCTTTATGTTTTTCCCCAAGTGACATATCAAACTAGAACTACTAATATCTAAAATGAGAGCACATACGAAAATGAAGAACCACCAAAATGTTGCAGGAAAAATGCCATTACTGTGTAGGGTACTGTGGGCTAAGGCCACCAGTACTTCGACCATGCAGCTTCCATGTGTGGTTACTAACCACAAAAGCCAAAGATCAGCACTTAAAAATCAAATACACAGGACAGTATTTATATATAAAGTCACAAGTGCAAAGGTAAGGAAAAGGAGGAACAGAAAAGGTCAGAACACCATGCTCTATCAAGAGTATTTTATTTTCACAGAAGAGAGAGGTAATCAGCAGTGAGCAACCGTACATCCTGGTTGTACCTGGAGACGTAAATAATTTTTGTGTTAAGGAAACTAGTCTTTTTATCTTTGAAGTAAATAGTTGCTTTACCACTGATTTCCTAGGGAGCTGAAGAATGCCTATCATCTTAGCATTTTTCTGTATGTCCGATCTGCACATAATTAAAAGAAGGTTGCTGATTTCTGCAAGTGTGTATAATTAGCTTAGGAACAATGTCTTCTCTACTCTAATGGTTTCTTTCACACCAAAGGCTATCTAACCAAAGGCTAAGGAAATTTCCATGTTGACATATCTTTACTGAATGGTAGGCAAAGTATTTTTTACATAACTATTATTTCTCTAATAACTGATTGCAGTTATTAATTCAGATAAGTGTTTTAATTGGATTCAGATACAGATTGGATTGGATTCAGATTTCTAATGATGTACGGCATTCACAACAGTCAGAGATCCCAGGCTTTCATACCTGCCTATGGCATCTTGTGTTTTTCTCTGTATTAAATATAACCTTCAGTGCCTTAGCAGACTGGAGGAGCAGATCACAGAGCAAAGCATGTAACTTTGCTAGCCTGTTGTGCTAAGGATGTTATGATCTTTGCTCAGCTATTTATAAATTATTTAAATATGAATGGGCATTTTGAGGACATATTGTACATACTGAGCTTTTATATCATTGTCATCCTTGTTAGACTTTCAACTTGCATCATTTACATCTAACAAAACCAAAATAACACATTAAGGATAATATCTCAGATCCGTCCTGTAAGCCAAGCTCCCATAGACTTGAGTGTAAATTCAGGCTGAGGCTATGTAACAGCAACATATTTGAATCAGGATTTGTTTTTTAGCTCATTGCAACATATATTTGAGATGTAAGTTATTTGTATATGCTTAGTAGTCAACAGGTCTCTTGTGAGTGTACAGATAAGCTAGAATGAAGAACTCATATTCTGAAAGAATTGTTGTAAAAGAAATATGGAAAATGCTTGTCATCCCCTATAACCTATAATTATGTCAAAGGTAATGGGATATAAATTTGTAATCAGGCAATATTGTGAATATTTTAGAATTGCTTTATGATGCTATTTTATTTACTTTTATAATATATTTTTATGGGATTGGTAAAACATACACTGACTTCTATATATTTTAAATTTCTACCCTTGCTTTTGTAACAAATCCATAGAAGTAACACCACCATTTTTCACGTAGTTTGGATCTGAACAAAATCATGGACACATACTGCAGCTCCTGCTGGCCCGTGTGTTTTCTCTCTGTGTGTAGTATGTGGCTAAGCTGGTGTGTGCTTGGATCACGTCTGCGTGGGGGTATATCAGCAGCAGGCACTGGGATGTGGAAACTCGGAGACAGAGCAGTATAGACATAGCCTAAGTGCTTTCTAGCACTCATGCAAAGGAGCAATCTTCTGGGAGTGATGAATAATAACAAATTTATCTTTCCGCATCATGCAACTCATTTTCTAGTCCAGTGCAAAGGTGCATCTTTAATGAATAATAAAAAAGCCCTTTTTCTTTCCATATCTCCTCAGAGATACCAAAATAATTGTTAATATAGCTTGCCATAAGCTTGTAGGTCTGTGCATTTTATTGAATATATGAATTCAAAATAACTCATAGTGAGAGCAAGAGTTGTATTTTAAACAAATTCAAGCTATTTTATTCTCTGCTCATAGGCTTCGGCATTTCTCGTATCAGCTTCCATTTGTTACATGTGGTTGCAGTAAGTTACACATTTACTTGTTCTATGGACAGGTATTAAGAGGAAGAAAAAGTGATTGTCCTAGCATTCCTGTGTATAAACATTGTCATGGCCCACCAAAGCAAACTAGTGTGTGCATATGCCTACTAGGACATGATATATTCAAATTTAGTTCGGAGTCTTGTGAAGTGGCTGCGTGATTGGTGTGGTACTTGTGCCACTGTAGGTTTTCTCTTTTACCAGATGAAACTGGAAACTTGTCTAAACTATCATTGCCTGAGTTATTCCTGGCATGTTGTTAGGATTTGATCTCTAAAATCCTGTATTCCGAGCAGATTAAATTTCTTTTATAACAAAAACTTGTATTCCAGCAAAGGAATAAAAAACCAACAAACCAGCTAATGGAAATCATGCCCTCAAAGTGAGGTGGCCACCGGATATTTTTCAAATACAAATATTTTTCTTATCCAGTGGGACATCTGTTTTCGTCTGCCTCTTACAATTTGCTGCATTTAACAAGCTCATCATTCTTACGATACTGCCTTTGTTCTGTTAGTATTTTCTGCTCTATATTTGGCATGATCACTTACTGCTCCTGCTGCTTTATCAGTATTCTCAATGAATGTTTCCTGAACTGACTTTCCACTTAATCTTTGAATTCAGCAGTTGTCAGAATGTATGTCAATGTAAATCTGTAGAAGTTATTTCATAGCTGCTGTAAGTTTTAAATTTTCATTAGCTGTAACAATGCAGATCTTAAAGGGGTAAAGGTGTATTTAGTATAGTGTATTGGTGGATGGCAGTGGCCAGAGTTTGAATCAAAGGATATCATCACTTGTGCATATTGTTCAATTAGAAATTTCATTTGCAATGTATCTCAGAGTCTGTCTTCATATTAAAGTGCTTTTAATGTCTATTATGAACCTACAGTGCTGGTTAATGTAATTTCATCCAGATCTACTTCTGTCAAATGGAATTTTAACTGTCCTGAGCTCCAGTTCACGTTTATGAAAGTTGGTGAATCTTATTCAATAAGATTCACACCTTGGTTGCAAAGCATGCACCATACATAAAAATTCTCATAAATGAGAGGAGAACATTTCCTTGCAATTTTTTTTTTCTCTTGAAGTATTTTGTCTTTTTAAAAAGCATATGAAGGTGAAAAAATTGTTTTTGTGTTTTGTTTCCTATAATAGCTGTATTGTTCAGGTAGTATATTTTTAACTTGAGATAAATCTTTGTGAATGTCATTACTTAATAACTACATCTTCTACCATTCCATTGTTTATACAGATCTAAAAATTGACCTATTGGAAGGATGCATAATTTGTAGCGCAGGGTATGTAAAGAAATGAAGCACACTTAATTGCTCTGTCTAATCCTCCAATAATTTTTCAGTGCATTGGCCAAACTGA